GAATAGCCTAATGTTGACATAATTATGGAGTGTAATTTATTTTCAACTCAAAATATCTTCAAACTAACGAAATATAAAGTTATTAGTGAAGAAACCCCGTCTGGATAACAGCAGACTGACTGTTCGTAAAATATACGACAGGTCTGGACCACTCGTGAATTTTGTTTGTATCTGAAGAAAATCGTAGAATACGAAAACATTGGTGAATGCCACAAATTCTCCTAAATCACTCGAACGCACAACTTAAGAACAAATCTGTGCGTATGAACAGTTCTTGCATGAGGCCCAATGTTTGAATGTGAATTAAATTGAAAGAATGTGTTAAAATAAGCAGGTAAAACAGATTATTTCACATCTAATATTTTGACTGACTCAGCAGAACCTGCCAGATGTTTCCTTCCACTTAGAGGAAGTTTAGTTTTTATGAACATTTTTACAGAACAGCCAGTTTGGGCAGGTTGTGAAAAGCAGCCCCGGCTCTCAAACTGCTGGATTAAAGTTTTGCTGTTAAATATGTGTATTTGTGAGTTCAGTTCTCTCTACATTAAACTCAACTGATGCAGCAGGTACTCACCCTGCTGTGTTTCAGCGTCTCAGTCAGGCCTCTTCATGCACACGGATTGGCTGCTTATGTCTTTGAGCTGCTTTCTGACTGATTCTTTGATCAGACTGTGTATAATTGAACCAAAATGTAATACTTTGCTGTCCATATGCAGAAGAGGTGTGGAGGCCAGATTTATCTCTGGTGCCATAAGTTGGTCATGATTATTTTAAAGTACTCAAAATATTTTTCAGAATACTTAGATGCTTAGCTGCACATACTTGTGAAAGGCAAATTATAATGTATTAGTGTGTGTTTATGTTTGAAGTCTCTCATGAACTGCTGGACAGATTTTATTGAAACTTGAAAAATGTAATCGTCCACAGCTGATTAACTTTTGGAACCGTACCAATTCAAGATGGGCCACCACAACTACTCAACATTTGCAAACACAAAAGTGGCTAAAACCTTTTTTTTTTTCAAGCTGTTGAGCTAAAATGTGGTGTGGTAGTAGCTGAGAGTCATCTGCGACACATACTTTTAGGTGAATATCTTTGTTTGAAACTTTAGCCTGCAGTCTTATTTATTAACAGACCTAAACCTATTCTGATTTATTCTTAGTGCTCACTAAGAATGAACCATCGAGTGTTTATAACAGCCAGTTGTAAATTGTGTTTTTTTTTCCAGTTATTTATTTTACAGGAGTTAAAAAGTAACTAAGATTGTAAATCTTTCATTTCTGTGATTTCCAGAGCAGAACATCTTAAAATGTATTATTTATTACTTCATATCATAATGTCATATCCACTTCAAAACATACCCAGAGTGTTGCTTTGATTTATTCATATATGTAGGCATGGGACGGTATGAAATTATGACGATATGATAACCTTGGGCAAAAATATCACAGTTTCGCGGTATGACAGTATTATGATTACAGCTCTAAAAATTTTGTTTTGAAATTTGTATTTAAAAAAAAATAACTTTTCTATTATCATATTCGGAAGCTGTTTTTAGATCTCAGAGGTGTTATGCTGAAATTTTATTTACCTGTGTGCACCTGTACTTTATTGATTTTTAGCACCTAATGCAATTAGGTTGTCCTGATCAAGTTTACATCTAATAGGATAACTGCTTTTCTATTGCTTTATTATTTAAGACAAATCAGTGTATACTGCATGACAAGTCTTTTTATTGAAGTAATATGTCACGTTGGGAGTTTTCATTGTGTTTTAAATTTCAAAAGTGTTTTTGACGTAAAGATTATATAATTATATGCACACAGAAACAAGAAATCACAACTCTGTGTGTTTATGAAACTCACGTTCAGCTAACGAGCTGCTCGGCTAAAGGAGGCATTCGGTTTTATCACCTTTCACTTAAAACTTATCAATGACACAACTCAAACAGTTTTGCAGACAAGCTGTAACCGGTGCATTAAGCCACAGCAACCTGGTGATATTTTACAATCTGATGCTAACATTAGCACGTTCATTTCAAGATAGCATAAACTTTACCATGTTAGATGTGTTGCCTCCGGTCCACATTGCCGTTGTCTTTACGGCATCCTAAGTACTTTCATATAGCTGACTTTATTATTTTAGACGGGAAAAGTTTGGGGAACTCTGTTCTTCAGCCACTATCACACAACCCCCGCAGAGCTGCGAGGGCCAGCAGGCAGCTCTGCAGGAGTGCACGGGGGAGGGGTCGAGGGGGAAAGTCTAGCGGCACAGACCCAAGGAAAAATAAACAAAAAACACTTATACCGTAGGCACGGTATGACAGAAGATTTTAGTGGTTTTCAAACCGTGACTTTTTTGTATCACGTTATACCTTGAAACCGGTATTCGGCCCATACCTACATACACGTTTGAGAAATCCTTGAATCTCCTGTGGAGCCATGTGGAGCTGCCTAAACACTTGCTGGTACAAAGCTCCACCCATTTGTACATAGCTCCTCCCTGAGCTCCTGCCCCCACAGAGCACTGCTCCCCCGAAGCATTGTTGTGAAGACGTGCTAAAGTGGGAGTGTCAGAAATGGTAGGAGATTCTTAAAGAGCCGCTGGACAATTTCAAGACATTTGGACTGATTGTGGTAAAGAATTGAACTATGTGCTTGGAAAATACACCATACCCCCTCCCACCCCACCCCCTTTAAATGTCTTTATTTACAGACCAAGTTACCACTTTCACCATCTTAACGGTCTAAATCTGCCCCTCCAGACAAGAGGCTGCTAAATTAATCTTTAATCATCTTGATTCTTCTCATCAGTGCCCTCTATTTTTCCATTGTTCCTTTTATTTAGTATTTATTTCACCCACAAATGCGTCTTACATGTTTCCTCCTGCAATTTTTCTGTCACTGCTTTTTGAGTTGCATTTTTGTGGCTAAAATAGTAAGAAACTAAATCCTCACTCCTACTAACACTTGAGCTGTCATGTACATCTTTTATAATGTTGCATCGAGGTTCGTTATCAGATTACCTCAAATCTCATCTACCATCAATGGAAGAAATCATCAGTCATATTAATATAATGTGATGATGGTGCAGCAAAGCTAATATGACGAGGACAAACTGTTTTCAGTCATGTCATATTACGTCAACTTATCGCTTAATCCACGTTTGATCTGATAAAAGTAATGTCTAACTATTAAATCTTCTCTATTTTCAGATGAATACAAGATGAAGGGAGTGGAGGAGGTGAAGTACATGAGAGGGGATGAAAATCGAGTGAACGCACGCAACCAGGAGAACCTGGTGAGACACACACACACACACTCACACACACACATGCACACTGCTGGTCCACTGACAGGCTGTCATCTGCACAGACTCAAACCTTTCCCTGGCAGCTCATCAGCTGAAGCGAACAGGCCTCTCTGTGTGTGTCTGCTCTCACACACACACTTACTGTCCCTCGCACAAACACAAACACCCAGAAAGGTGCCTCGCAAACAGATTCAGCCTAGTGTGAGTAGACTGTGTGGGCTGATCGCATGGTTGGTCTGACTTCACTTTGAAAACTCAAAACAAGGATGTTTTTTATATCATGAGATTGTTTTGCTCCGACCACTCATAAACTATAGTGCTCAATAATTTTTACACAACACTATAAAAACATTTATGTGTTGAGGCTGATTATCTGTGGATAGATTTACTTCCTCCTTGGCTCTGTTGTGAAGTCGACTGAATATAGTTAGTTTTGTTTTCTGTAAATGGGCCGCCTGCCATCCTGTTAAGTGGTGAAACAATGACTGGTGACTGTAAAAGGATCACACTGACACAAATTATACCACTGTTGTTAAAAAACGACTTTACACACACGTCTCAAGACCCGTGGTGACCGAGCCTTCTCCTCCATGGCCCCCAGGCTCTGGAATGAACTTCCTATTCATCCGTGCACGCTTGAAAGCATTGATTCATTCAAGAAATATCTGAAAGCACACCTCTTTAAACAAGCTTTTAACTAATTTCAGCATTTTTCTGCAGCCTGACCTTTTAGTGTCTGTTTCACCAAACCCTACCTACCGACCGTACAATTCATTATATTAATATATGTCAAACAGCCAGTATTTTCATCCAAAATCATTTCACTTTATCAAAAATGCATTTTTCTAAAATGTACCAGTACTCCATAATCTACCCATTCGGAGACATGCCTCCAAATTAATTTCTGATTTAAAAATCCTTCATCTTAATATGTTAATGTTTTACTCTGCCCTCCCCATTTTTGTCTAGATATTATTTACTTGTTTTATTTTTCGGATTGCACAGTCTTGATACTTTGTTGGTTGTACAACTTTTATACTTTTTGTTCCAAATTTTTGTAAATCCTGTTCTGATTGTATATTTTTTGATTTCCCTCTGATTGCACAGCACCTTGTGAATCTATTTCTATGAAAGATGCTATATAAATAAAACTTTACTTTACTTTACTTTACTTTATCAAAGTCAATGAATACATCAACCTTTGAAATTGGCTGTGTACATTATACACTGTGTTAAACACATGTGTTTATTCAGGAATCGCAACGATTTTAAACTGTTTCCAAGGCAATAGCTCTTTGAAGTGGGGTTCTGTGAAAAAAAACCTATGAACATAATATCTTACCTGTTGTAGATCACTCTTTTAGGGTTCTTCGAAATCCGTTTTGTTTTCCCAAATTCCAGTTTTTCTTTTTTTTTCTGAATTCCACATTTTCATTCTAATCATTTTTATTAATGTAAAAAGTGTGATTATAAAGGGACTGAAAAATACTTCTTTTTTTAGTTTTATCTAATTTATTTAATTCATAAAGACAAAATCTATAAACAGTAAAATAAAACTAAAAAATAAATCGTGCTGTAAATGAAAAGGGTGCAGAGTGAAGAAAAAGTCTTATCATACAGTGGTTTGCAAAAGTATTCATACCCCTTGAACTTTTCCATATTTTGTCACATTACAACCACAAACATAAATATATTTCACTGGAATTTAATG